AGGGGAGCCAGGTGGGGGGTGGGAGCCCGGGGCCCAGCCGAGGAGACCAGTCTCACCTGCAGCAGTTGTTGTTTCCGCACATGAGCACCTCGCGGCCCCCGCAGCAGATGGTGCAGTAGGACTGGTAGCCGTCGTCGTCGTACTGATACGCACACTCCAGAAAGCAGTTCTAGACAGCAGCGGGAAGGGTCAGAAACCACCAGGACGGGTCCCAGGACGGCCAGGACGAAGGGAGGCTCTGCACCCGGCCTCACAGAGCCTGACTCAGCCCTGGAGACATGATCCTGCCACCGCCCTAGCCACGGTCAGGCCCCAGCTGTAGATCTGGGCAGGGGAAACCTCGTCTGCCTGGGCACCGCCGTGGACAGAACCAAAGAGCAGCCTGAGGGCAAGGCCAGGAAGGGGGCTGCACCACCACCTGGGCCTCCGTGCAGCCCTGGGCTTTTCTCCTGGGCTCCCGAGGGCACGGCAACCCTGCTACACTCTGCCTGAGCTTGTCCCCACTGCTCTGCTCCCATCCCCACATCTGGGGACTAAAATGGGGCTTGAGAGAGATAAAGAATCTTTCAGAGGAGAAAAATGAGAGCAAGTGAAAAGCTTGAAGCCCAAGGGCCCATGTCATCAGGACTCTGCTTCCGGAGGAAGCTCTGAAGTCTACGTCACACGCATACCAGGTGTCACCCCGTACACGCCCAGAAGCGGTGGACACAGTCAGCCAGGGGGCCGAAGGGCTGGCCTCAATGGCACCTCTCCTGGGCGGGTGTGCTCCTACCTTGCAGTTTTGGCACATTCCTCCAACGAAGAGGGGGTGTTCCAGGGTGACGTTGAGGCTCCCACAGGAGATGCAGATGTCTGTAAGCAGAGCGAAGGGATGGGGTGAGTACAACCAAAGGACCTCTCCCTGCCTGGGCTGGAGCCCAGCACCAGACCAGCCACAAAAAAGGGGTGTGCTGGAGTGGCAGCCGGAAGAGTCCAGGGTGCCCCACAGAAAAGGGAGGCACTGTGGCCCTAGTCTCAGAATGCCATCATCTCAGAGCACCAATGCCACCATCCACAAACAGGGACAGAGTGACAGGAGGACTGAAACTTGCTCATGAGAAGCAGCCCTGGCTCCAGGTTACTCAGGAGGGATTCCTGGGGTAATCCTCAAGTACTAACCCCTGCCCCAATCCTCCCAGGCTGAGGGTCCTGAGCCAGATCCAGCAGCACCAGGCTGAGGAAGACAGCCCCGGCATGAGAGAGGTGAGCAAAGGTGAAAAGCTGAAAGGGGACCTGTAGGCGAGTTCAATCACACCCAAGAGGGGCTGCCCTTCTGTGGCCACTGGGGAGTCCCACACCCTGAAGGCCAGCCCACGCCATTGACAGGAGGGCAGAATCATGGCACCAGGAAGACAGACAGACGGTGCATGAAGTACGGTGGAGGTGGTGTGACACGCAGGACGTGGCCCCTGGTCCCATGTCATTCAAACCTTCCTAAGTGCCTATGCTACTCTGCCCCATGCCACACTAGGAGTGCCAGAGTTCCCAGGCAACAAACTTACCCTCAATGTTCCGGCACTTCTGCCGCACCTCATACACCAGCCGCTCTGCAAGGGGAGGAGAGCCGGCGTCAGAGGAGGCCGCGCCTGCTCCTCGGATGCAGGCCTCCTGGTGCCACCCTCTCCAGAAGCAGGCCAACTACCTCTTGTGCGCTCATCAATAATCTCCTTGACCTTGGGTTTCTCCGTTGTGCTCTTCCGGGGCTTTTTGGCTGGTGGAGGTGGTGCATAGGCAGCTGCCTCAGGTTCCACCCACATGTCTGTGTACACTTCTTTGTAGGGATTCTTCTCTTCTGGAGCAGGAAAGCAGGTGCCAAGGTCAGTTACAGGCTGACAGGAAACCCCAGCCCCCTCCCCCATTCTCCTTATAGTGGGGTGCAGCCCGGTCTCCAACTTGTTCCCACCTCCCAACTCTATGGTTCTAGCCAGTTAACAGAGAGCAGGTCATTCAAGTCCTTACCCCAGGGCAAGAGAGACCCCAGTCATTCCCACTGGGCCCCTCTGTGGAGGCCTCGGCAGCCCTCCCTAAGCATGGCTTTCCCAGCCCTGGTGTGGCTCTGCCTGGCGGACAGGGGTCCCAGAAGGCTGGGTGCCCTTATTTACCTTCTGGTGGCTCCAGGCCCTTGGGGCCAGAGGGCTGGAAGCCCCCCAGCGCCCATTCAATCATGGGTTTGTTCTGCACCTCCACGGCCTTGGCAGTGTCACTCTCGTCGCTGTCATGGCACACCGGGAACAGCTTCCCTGCACGGCTGCTGGCCACCTGGAGGGTGACATGCCAGGGATGGGGTTGTCAAGACAGGCTGGAAGGCGGATGGGTCAGGCTCAAGGCCTGACTCTGAGTAGTGAGGGTGGCACAGGCAAGACGGGAGGAACCGTCCAGGAGGTGGATGTGCATACAAAGGCGTGAGCGAGGTGGGGAGAAAGGAGTCGCTGCCTCCTGGGCCTCCATTCTGCTCAGGCCCGACCTGCACTCTAACTTCCAGGCCTCCTAGTGCTCTGGGCTCCTCCTCCGAGCTCCCAGCAGGGACACTCACCTGCAGGACCTCGTAGATGGCTTTGCGGTACATGGGCTGCTTGTTGTACGTGGCCTGGTGGAACGCACTGCAAAACGAGCTCAGCGGCATCAGCTTCTCAACACACACCTGGGGGGACAAGCCAGGCCTTGTTTGCTGCGGCTTGTACTTGCAAGCACCCACCCCGTGCCTCGTAACTGGCAGGGGCTGGGAGCCTTGAGAGTCAGTCTCAGCCCTGGAGGGGACCAGATGCAGTGATAAATAATTACCCGATGCAAAGAGGAGTCCAGACCAAGAGTAGGGAAGTACCTGAGTGCAGGTGGAAAGGAATTCTAGTGAATTCCTAAAACTGGGCCAGCATCCTAGCTCTCTGAGCCACAGGGGCAACCTAATTATCCCTACGGCTTCTTCCACCCACCACAGGCAGAGTAGGGGTGAGCAGAACCCACTTCTATCACCCCAATTCCAGACTGCCCCCAGCCAAAACCACAGGCCCTGGGATCAAGAACCTTCCCCCGCCCCAGGCTACTGCCAAACCCCACAACTCACCACTGAGAATTTGCCGTCTCCGAACCACATGACCCAGCGGGTGCCTTCAGCTGCTCGGCTCCGGCCCGTCATCCACCAAGACACAATGCGGCCTGGCCACCAGGAGAAGCCCCGCAGTTTCCCCCACACCAGCTCCCCAATGCCAAAGCCCCGGCCGTCCTGGAGCCCCAAGGAGCAGAAATCATTACACAGTGGTCACGAGGCCCTGCCACCCTGATCCCCCCATGGCAACCCCAGCCCTGGGCATCTGGGGGGCAGGACAGCCAGGAGGGAGCTCCATCTGAATGAGGCAAGACAGAGCAAAATCGGGGAGACGAAGAGGCCCAGGGTCAGGTGGAGAGAGCGAGCGGCCCGTGGGAGATGGAGAGAGGAGAGCAGGACGGGAGGAGCTGGCAGTGGAAGGCCCCCGGAAAGAGCTGGCCACGGCTGGTGAAGAAGCCGCTCACCTCGTACTCTGGCTCATCATCGCCTGCTTTGGTGGCATTCTTGTCCCCAGCATCGGCCCCCACAGGCTCAGGTGTGGTAGCCACAGTGGGGGATGCGGGGTCAGTGGGCTGCTGCACAGCAGGAGGGCTGGCCTCCTCCACCTTCTGAGACTCCCCGGGCCCCTGGTTTTCTTCCACAGCATTCATTCCTGCAATGACCTTGGCTTTCTTCTCAGCCTGGGGAAACAAAAAACAAAAAGTCACCTTGACCTCTCCAGGAATTAGCAAGGCCACCTGACACTCAAGGGGACCATGTTTGACAAAACCTGGGACAGTGACAGACGGTCAAGGGCTGGAGAGAACCAACCAGCTGCCTTGCCGTGAAAAATGGAAAGATTTGAAGTAGAGAGGTGAACTCAAATCACGCAATTCCAGCCTTCTTTTCTGCCTTTTAGGAAACCTTCCTCCCAGATCTAATCTTCCTCAATCTCATCAGCATATCAGTTGCCTACCCTATGATATGGATATGTTAATTCTTTTTTTTTTTTTTTTTTTGAGACAGAGTCTCACTCTTTCACCCAGGCTGGAGTGCAGTGGTGCAATCTCGGCTCACTGCAACCTCTGCCTCCTGGGTTCAAGCGATTCTCCTGTGTCAGCCTCCCAAGTAGCTGGGATTACAGGCATGCACCACCACACCCAGCTAATTTTTGTATTTTTAGTAGAGACAGGGTTTCACCATATCGGCCAGGCTGGTCTCTAACTCCTGACCTCAGGTGATATGCCCGCCTCGGCCTCCCAAAGTGCTGGGATTACAGGCATGAGCCACCATGTCCAGCCTATGGAAATGTTAATTCTATCCAAATATTAGTCAGGCACTATTGTTTAGACACAGATATTGGTTCCACCCTCTCCTATCTTAATCAAGACTAAGATCTTCAGCCAGGCATGTGCCTGTAATCCCAGTTACTGAGCAGGGAGGATCACTTGAGCCCAGGAGTTCAAGACCAGCCTGGGCAATATAGCAAGACCCTGTCACCAAAAATTAAAGAAGCAGGGTGGACCCTCTCTTCTTCTCCACAATTTCTCTGGGCAATCAATCCCTCCTATTCCTGGTTTCCAGGCCACAATTCTAGTTTTGTGCTGTCTGCTGATGATGAAATCACTGCTCTGGGTTTAAAAAGCCCATCTCCCCCAGCACATGCTCAAACACCATAGGAAGCTCCCCAAGAGCCGCCTGTTCCCATGCTCAGACGCCATGTTGGAGTTCTTATGGATCACACCCAATGTGTATTGTTACCAGATTCGATCCCTTCTATGTGCACCCTTCAGATCCATAAATACATGTATTCATTCAGTTATTTACTGAGCAGGCACTATAGACCAGGCGTGCTCTCTGCCATCCCACCAACAAATTAATAAGCCAAACCCCAGTTATTCTCCCATTGCACAGCCTCCATCCTTTCACCGTATCACACTCGTCTTTCAGGCTACGATCCACGCGCCCATTCCTTCTCACAACCCGCTCCAGGATCCCTACAAAGGAGAATGAAATCCTTGATACTTAGCTCTGAGAACCATTAGCCTTTTACTGAATCTAGGAAACACGGCTCTCAGACTTCAAGGCTCTGCACCCATTTCCACCATACCAGATTCAGGGGGGAGAAAACCCCATTTTCTACATGCCTTTCAAAAGAGCTCCCCCAGGGGCCTAGAGCTGCAAATGCAAACCCATCCTCAAGGGTAAAGAGGATAAGCAAGCAACCTGGAGTAGGAAGAGCTCTCATCTGAAGTTGGAGCCTCTACATTCCTGTCGGAGCCTCACAACCAGCAGCAGTCCTTTCTGGTAGGAGTTGCTCCAACATAAAAAGGCACTTGAGCGAAAGGATTTCTGGTAAGCTTTTCTGACCTGTTTAAGAATCTGGTGTGTATACAGACCAATGATTCCCAGGACTCTCCCAAAGCCTGTCAGTGGACCCCCCAGATCCAAGGGTCCCAGGTTAGGAACCTTCGTTTGAAGCTCAGTGGTCCAACGTATTGTCTTATAGATTCATTTAATTTCACTGAGTCTTCAAGTCTTTGCCTCCAAGCCACAGACCAAATCTGTGTCTTATGGCGATTCCGAAAACACTGAAGATGTTAAATCCTAGTTTTTCCTCTGACTCAACAAATTCTAAAACAGGATAATGCATCTTTTGCCCCCAACCCCCAAACAGCTGGGAAAATGAGCTCATGGATGGCGGAATGAGCTCAGGGATCGGACTGCGGGGGTGGAAGAATGTGGAGTAATTGCTCATCGCTCCCTAGTCCCACTCTCACCTGGCCAAAACTCTGCCCTCCCCTTCCTACTATCAATTAGCCATCGCCTCCTCCCATAGAGAAGGTGCACTGAAGTGTGGACCCCGCTATGGGGGAGGGTGCCTCCCTTCCTGGGATCCTCAGCTGCGTCAGTTACCCTCGCAGAGGAGCCCACACCTCGCGGCTGCTCCTCGCCCACCACGCCTTCTCAAGCTTCAGGCATGGGTGGCTGACCTAGGGTGATGCCTGGGATGATCCAAAGACCCTGTTTCCAGGCGTGGCGAGGCCCCTGAGCCAGTACAAGGTGTGCAGGTGGCAGAGGGCGGGAAGGGGAAAGGACCCGCTATCACTTCCTCGACAGCGGCAGCAGCAGGTGGGCTGAGCTGCTCCCCAGGTCTAGGAGTCGTGCCTGACACCACCCTCAGCACTCCCCCACGGCCCCTTTGTCTCTCTTCTCAGCCCCTTCACAGCGAGTTCCTGAACATTCTTCTTCCCCCACAACTTCCCCCAGCTTGTCAGATGCCGCGCTGCGAGCTGTTCAGCATCCCCAGCCCACTTGGTGCAGAACACGCACCCGGCCCGGTGAGGGCTGGCGGAGGAGGAAGGGGCCTCCATCAGGACTGGGGCAGTGGGGTGGGGGAAGGAAGAAGGGGGTGGGTTAGCAGCGGGAGGCCTGACGAAAGGGGAAGAAGGGGCAGCCGGCTGGGTGGGGGAGGGGCCTCATTAGAATAGGCCTGTCTGGGGCGTACGGAAAGCACCCCTTCCCCCTGCACTCCTGTCTTCCTCCCCAGGCAAACAATAAGAGAAATAGGGGTAAACTCGAAGCTCTCCCATTTGGGCTGCAGGCCGCTCACCTCCAGGGGGGGCAGAGAAACCAGGCGGCATTCAAGAGACACCACACCATTCCCCACTCCCTGCTGGCTCACGGAAGCCCCTGGTCCTGGAGTCCGTCCAGCCTGGGAAAGCCACCGGGAACTCCGGTGACTACTGCCTCCTGTCCACTCCCATCTCCTCAGGCAGTTGTCCCGCCTCCACCTCCCCCTGCGACTGCAGCGCTTCCCATTCCAAAGGTCAGAGGTCTGAGCGCCACCGCCCCCAAGCCCATGCGGCCTTGGGCTACCCTGGTGTCACAGGCCGGCCCCCTGTCAGGGTCGCACCGTGCCCTCCGCCCCCCACCACTTCTTTCTGGCGGCCTGCCCGGAGGCTTCCAGGAACTCGCAGGAGAGGAAGCTGTCCCTCTCAAGAGGCCGCAAGCTGGCAGGGCCCTGAGGAAAGCGTGGTCCCCCAGCCAGGAACGCAGGTCAACAGGGAAGTGCCAGGCACCTATCTGCCAGCTCAGCTGAAGCTGCCTCCAACCCAACTCCTGGGCTACCAGCTCCGCGTGCCCCAGCCTGCAGTTACCACTGCCCGGGCTCCCAGCCGGCTGCTCTTCCTGTCCCCCGAGGGCGCCAGGTGCCACTGGAGCCCTCGAGGAGTGGGGCCTTGGGGCTCGTGGGCAGGGAGGCGGCGGGCCAGCACTAAGTCAGCATCTCCAGAACTCGGGCCAGGCCGGGACGCCCCGGCTGCTGCGGGCTGGGGAGGCATACTTGACTCTTTTCAAACCCGGAGGGCTGCGGAGATCCTCCCACCGGCCCTGCCGCCTCCCCGCCCCCGGTCTCCCCGGGGCTCCGTCCAGGAACCTACCCATAAGGCCAGGTGCAGCCCCTCTGCAGTCGCGCTCAGGTGTGAGCCCCGGCCCTGAAGCTCTGGAAGTAGCTGCCCGTCTGGGGGGAGGGGAAGGGGGCGATGGGGCTGG